GGCCCTGTGAAGGCATCGCCAGACACAGACAGCCCACCTCCCTGCACCCCTCACCAACCTCTCCACAAACGGGAAAATTATTCTGGGGCCACCAACTCCTGTTAGACATCAGAAATAATTTGTGTTTGGTGTAACGATCCTTGTGAATCTCAGAACTGATCTTGGCGCTCTTTAAGGCCTACAACCGAATTCAATCCTGCCGGTCCGTCCAATCGAAGTGTCCACTTGAAAGAAAGAAAGATAGGATCAGCTCCAAGCCTCTCCTGCTTTAGAAGGCCATAACTCTCACTTCCTGCCCTATAGGATCAGCTCCAAGCCTCTCCTGCTTTAGAAGGCCACAACTCTCACTTCCTGCCCTATAGGATCGGCTCCAAACATTTCCTGCTGACCCCCCCCGAATTCTAAGCATTTTCAATCATATGAGCTGTATGCATTTCATCAATTATTCCACGGTGTGGGATACATCAGGAATAATTTATCCACATGTATGTGCATGACCCTGGAATAATAAGAAAATTATTCCAGGGTACCACCCACATGGTCCTCGCACAAGGGACCAGCCATCATATAAGCCCGTCCACTGCGACGTCTCCCTGCGGCGGCCGAAGCGACCGGCGAGCGGATAGCACTCGCGGAGGTAAAGACTGAGCTGACCAGGGATGTGTAGCGATGGACATAGCGTTTTTGTGAGGACTTCTTCGAAAATGCCTACGCTTTGGAGGAAAGCGATGAATAGCCTCAACTATGCTGCAAGCGCCAGATGCTGGCATTTAAAAGCCTCTTCAGCATCTTTGTGCCTCAAGAGCTGTGAGTGGACACTGGCCGTTGGTCCGTTGGTCCCCATGGCGGTTTAGACAGAATTAGCGCCATTGGGACGTTCCACCTTTCGTGAGTCCACAGTGCGAAAACCAAAATGCGGCCTGCTGAAACACGCAGATTCCGGCGGAAGGTTCGGTGGCCGATTCTTATTTGGGGGTTTGCAGAAGGTACGTTCAGTCAGCCTGCACATGTAATATCGTGCATTATATGTATTGATTTCATATATCACTACATATCTATAATTTTACAGTATCTATTTATATGAATTTATAGACTTTGGTCACCACTGTTCACCTCACCCCCCCCCTTCGGGTGCTTCTCCTTCGATACCAAAACTGGTCCAGGCGCGAGCCGGAGCGGAGGTCGGACCGCCCCGCTCCAAGGCGGGTCGGGTCCAAACTGGAGGGGTGCAAAAAAAAAGAGACAACAGGGTGGCTGGAAAGCACAGTAGGAGATGACACAAGCTAACGATGATGATGATGATGATGATGATGATGATGATGATGATGATAAGGTTTGGGCTGCTCACCTCCAAGTAGCCACTGGAGTCTCAGATGGTTTTCTATAACTGGTTCTTCAGTTCGTGACCGAACTTGATCCCCTGGTTGGTTCGGTGACAAAGAGGCCCGGAAACGGTCTATGGGGCTACAAAGTTGCCTTTTTGAAGAAGCTGGAAGGCAATCTTCCATAGGCTCTCCTGAAGTGGCCAAAAGTGGTTATTCTTGTTTCCTTTTGTGTTTGCACATTTTGAGCATATGTGTCTTCAAATCCTGAGGTGTAAGCAGGCTGTTGTTTCGTGTTCATGTGACGTGTTTGTGGGAGTGTATACTAGTGAGTTTGCCGGATCCCAAAACAGTAAACAAAAACCATTTAGCAGACTATATAACAATTAACAGATCCAGTTAATTAATTGGATAGAGAGGAGTTAACTGATCCACCTTAATTAATTGCAAGTCGTGTAGTATACCACTTATATCCCAAGGTTCCGGCTGTGGCCAGGGTGGAACCTGGTGGATCAGGGCAGTGACCTCAGATCATCCAAGAGACCCATGGAGCAGATAGGACATGTCAAGGCGAGAGAGAGAGAGAGATGTTTTTCATTGATTCGTTGGGGCTGCAGCTTGGGGAAACTGATCACACAATTTCATACAAACAGTTCTCTGGCAGGTCAGGAGAACTGGATAGAACTGTTTTTTTGCATGGCAAGACAAACGACTTCCGCCTTTCGTGGGAGAACCCGTGCCCACACGACCGGACTCGCTGGATCACACGTCGGACTCGCTCGATCCAGCCGCAGCTCTAATGGTGCGAAAACCGGTGCGTTCGCACCGTGCCCTCCTTTTGTCCTGACACCCAAAGATACACCGACATCAGTGAGGGTGTGAGGAAAAGAACCTCTCATCACTGAAAGCCCTATGCACAAACCACCTCGGACTCGTGGAAACACCACGGTCGAAGTCCAGCGTTGTTCACCCGAGGCCCATGCCTTCTCCGGAGGTCATGGCCAAGGCGGCGAACGCTCGGAGCTTGCTCTTCGTCAGCCCTGAAGGCTCGGTTTCCTCCACGCTGGGGGTCTCCAAAACACGGAAGGTGAAGAGCTTGCGGGGAGGCTTAGATGGAGCGAACGAAGTGGAGGCGAGTTGGTGTACCCAGTGTACCCAGTCTAGGAGCTTGAAAGGATTTGCCAAAACGATTTTGGAATGGAGTTGTGAAAGATCATGTGGCATTCTACTGAGCTTCTTGAGTCCATTCTTTTTGTTTTTTTGGTGTGCGTGTTGGAGCGGCTAGGCTGTTGCGGTGATGTTGTTTGAGTTTTCCTGGGACATAGGCTTTGGCAATGTTCCTGTGCAAATCAAGAGTCAGTTGGGCATCAATGTGCTTGAGACAGATTGTGCTTGTTGTGCGGTTGCAGGGGCACCAGCACGTGCAAAACAAAGTATGCGTATTGTTTTGATTCCTTTCACGGCACAACGCACGGGGATCGTTGTAAGCGACCAACAATCCAAGAAAACCTTTGCTCCCACTTGATGTTTTTTTTCCGAACGAAGACCTGTTCATGGCCGTGGATTCGTGCCTCCTCGCTGCCGCGTTTCCTCCCTACGGAGGCCGTGCGATGTGGAGTCGGCCAATGGAGTGTCCATTGGCCGACCATCCTGGAGCGGAACATGAAGCACTTCAGAAAGGGGACCAGTCTTCCATTGGTTTTGGGAAGGTCCATGTTCTATCTACTCCAGGATGACTATAGCCAATGGGGTTTGGTGTCAGTCTGAGGTCAATGGAGGAGCTGGCACGACGAGATTCGTCACCACCCAGCTTCCTGTGCGCGAACCCAGGGCATAGGGGCAGGAGAGGCAATCATGTTTGAGGCAGTTGTAAGTCTCAAATTCTTACTGTGTATATACTGTATAATGTATACAATATATATAGAAGAAGGTCACTGGAACTGAGTCCTTTCTCATCAGGAACTGGGTCCTTATTGTTTGGATGATTTAGGTATGATAGATTGGGGTTACATGTTGGTAGGATCATGTGATATGTGTCACGCACACTTTTGCCTTTCCTCGCCACAATGTTTGGTTCCCAGCAGACAGCTGGTGGCTCAATGAGTCATCATTAAGATGTAATGAATATTCAAGTATGCCATGGTGGCAAGGTACAGTTCAGCAAGTGGACACATAGCCCACAAACTTAATGCGGCACAGCTCTGATATTTTGAACTTTAACTGGTGCAGTGTGTTGGTACACAGTGTTTCTAACTTGCATTCCGCTGCGCCCAATGCCATGCTATGATCATGGCCGTTGGAGTTGCCAATCATTGGCACGAGACCCTCGGTTCACATCAGGATGGACAGGAACCTTAGATGGGGAAAAAGTTGGCAGGCACAGTCGATCGGTCGATTAGATGGCACAGTGGACCCTTAGATGGTCACTGCGTGCACAGTAATTAGATATTATATGGTATGATATAGATGGCAGGTGCAATGACCATTCGATGGCAGGTGCAGAGATTGGAGGGCAGGTGCTCAATGCAAAAATCACTGTATTTTCCAGAAACGCCGATCATGGTTGCAGTCAAAGCTGTGCACATCGGACTTTCAGCAACACAGCGCTGTGGCTGTGGCTAACCCCGCAGTTAGTACTGCACACACCTAGTAGTAGCCTCTCATGAGAACTGCTTCAGCCACTTGTTGATGATGGCACTGTTCCGTGGGCCATGCTTCAAGATCCACCTAAGCCAGAAGCATGAGGAAACAAGAATAGTTGATATTAATGGATACCCCATGCATCCCCATTCTGTGTAATCTGCAGTCCAAAGATGTTTAGCTGAGGGTTTCCATTTGCGGACAATGAACTACTTTCCATTTTCAGTCTTCAATTACTGTACTTAGAGTTGGAGGGAGCAGGATGAAGTGCAAACAAACAAACCAGAACTGGTGGAGAAAACCAAGGAGCAACTTTGACTCAATTAAGCAAACAAGTATCTGCTTGCGTGCTTCCTGTGCTGCAGTGGCTGCTTCCCTGGGAGATTTGCCCGATGCCTTTGCCGCTTTGTGCACTCCGCTGTACACCTTAGAGTGGTCAGTAACCCCAGAAACATACAGAAAAAGAAATAAAGTAAGAAGCAGTGAGGGCAGCAAAGTAAGGGAAGAAACAATTCAAGTGCGATTACCTGACGCGGAAACTGCCACTAGTCGCTTCCAAGGTTTGAAACAGTCAAGGGACACAGTGAAGCTTCTTCATAATCTCTTCCTCGGTCATCTTAGCATCAATCCTGTTGCCTTCGTCTTCATCCTTCTTGTGGTCAACCTCCTTCTTCTTTTTGTTTGCATTCTTGCCGTTGCCTTCTTTCTCCTCTGCATGTTTCCTCTTGGCGATGCAATCCTTCTCAACTTGCTTCCGTCTTGCCAATTTTGGCGCCTGTGCCTTTACCCTGCTTGACTTGGCTGCTGCTCCTTCCCTTGCCTTCTTTCCTGCAGTCTTTCTGTTTTGCTTGAAACTCCTGCGTCTAGCATTCATCCTTGCAGCGGCCTCATCTCTTGCCTTCTTCTCTTCAGCTTCTTTCATCTCACCCGCTGCCCTCATCTTCTCATCTGCAGGCTTCATCCTTGCCGCTGCCTCATCTCTTGCTTTCTTCTCTTCAACTGCTCCCTTCTCATC